GTGTGTGTGTGTGTGTGTGTGTGTGTGTGTGTGTGTGTGTGTGTGTGTGTGCTTTCGCGTGTTTGTATGTGTATGTATGATTGTGTGCACATTTACTTTATAGCCAATGTGTATTATAAGCGCACTCTCTTCTACTTTGTTTCTTTAGCCAGCATATGCGCAGGTATGTATGTGGTTTTTTGTATATATGTGCATGCATGTGTATAAGTGTGCATGTGCATATTTTGTGTCTGTGTTTGTGTGTGTGTGTATGTGTGTGTGTGTGTGTGTATGATAGAGTGTGATTATGTGTTTGTAAGCGTGCGTTAAAACGTGGGCTCGTAAGTGTGTGTGTGTGTGTGTGTGTGTGTGTGTGTGTATGTGCGTGCGTGTGTGTGCGTGTGAGTGTATGTGTGTGAGTGTGAGTGTGTATGTGTGTGCGTGCGTGCGTGTTGTAAAAGTACAGGGGTATGTGTATGTGTATGTGTGTGTGTGTGTGTGTGTGTGTGTGTGTGTGTGTGCATTTGTGTGTGCATTTGTGTGTCTGCGTATGTGGATATGTGTGTATATGATTGTATTTTTTGTTATTGATTTTTACATGTACAATTTCAATTTCAGCTTATCACAATACTAGGTGTGTACCAAAGTATATGAGTACATGCTGTGATTATGTTGAGTTGAGTCTGGACAAACTTGCTCTCTACAATGTGTGTGAAATATGTCAGCAGATATGAAGCTTTGTTTGCAGCATCTGGTGTTGAGAGATTTCTGAAACTCTATGATCCAGTAAGAATAACACATCTTTAAAATCCTGGTTCTTTAAACAATATCTTTAGAAATATGTCGTTTTAGAAAGTATCACAGGTCTGATAAGAAATTATGGCAGTTCATAAAAAAGACGTGTTACAAATCGGACGCTTAAAAAAACATGGTCCTTCAGAAGTCTTGGCCCTCTAAAGATCGTAGCACTTTGAAAAATCACCGGATTTTGGAAACGATCGGCTTTTAAAAAACCATGACACTTCAGAGACCAATCACTTCAGAAACGATGACCATTTTTGAAATCTTGGAAGTTTAGAATTGAAGCGTGGTTTTCCAAAACTCAGTAAGTCAAGTTTGACAAGCGTTTGATTCCACCACAATGCCTCACACGTTTATAATATAAACATGACCCATTTATGTATATTATATGCACATGAGTATATAATTATTTAGATTTTAATATTGCTAGAGTCCGGATAGGGAACTTTCGGCTGTGAGCAGTGGATACGGCTGTTTTAGACAATGTATGTGTGTGGCATCGTGGTGAAACCAGGCACTTGTCAAAATTGACTTAGTGAGTTTTGGTAAACCGCTCTTCAATAAATGAAGGAAGTTCAGACGGAAACCCCGGTTACACCAGTCGCTGTCCCCCAGCAGGTTTGAACAAGGCCGAGAACTACTACGGCACGGAGGACGAGTACCGCTTGGTTCGAGACCTCATGAAGAGCTACAACAGACAGGTCAAGCCTAGCCTGGTCAACAACCAGCCGCTCAACGTGACCTTCGGAGTGGCTCTGGCGCAGATCATAGACTTGGTCAGTGTTGCTGGAAGCATGCTGGTTCTTTACTACATAATCTGTGCGGTTGATGTTTCACCAGCTTTCATTTTAGTCGTATGTGTGTGTGTGTGTGTGTGCTTTTAATTTTACAACCTCCACCCTATCCGTATTTCTCTCTCTTTCTC